GGGGTAAATAACCAGCGACATCTGCCGGGAAGATTCAACGCAGCTATCAAGTCAGACAGCTTCGTTAACCAAACTTTCTTTGCTTTAATGGTTCTTAGTTCGTACAAGAGACAGCTACTGTTAAAAACATTCTGTAGATAGAAATAAGCAAAGTTTAGTATGGCATAAGGCCAGTAAAGTAGAGTAGTTATGAACAGCGAGAAGAAATTTTACTTTATTGCTTTCCGTGTCATTAAGCTCATTAATTTCAATCTAAGTAATCAAGTTATTCTATTTATATTTTCAATGATTTACGTATATACCGCTAGCATACCGATAGACAATTCAGTAAGTACACAAAACTAGAAAGAGGCTTGATGTGCCTTCTCGCCGGACTTATTCGAGCTTTTACAGTGAGGCGATCCTGGGTGAATTAGAAGTCTTACCAGGATTCATTATTGGTGGCTACATTCCTCAGAACGTACAATATGCAAATGACGCCGTGTTGATAGAAGGCATAGAAAGAAAACTATAAGAACTCCTGCAAAAGTTAGTGAGGGAAAACACGATAAAAGGACGAACCAGACATAAAGTATGATTGACAGCTGGAGAAAAAGCCCAAGAGGCGAACAACGAATTCGAGTTGTCAAAATCAATCAAGTACAGAAGTTTAAATAATTTGGAAATATTTTAATGGAAGACGGAAAGTGCGACATCGAAATCCTAACGCGTATTGGGATGGCGAAAGATGGCTTCCAAAAATCAAGCAAAGTATTAAGAAACAAGAAAGTTTCGTTAGAAACAAAGAATTGACTACTGAACTATTATATAATATCTGTCCTCTTTTATCGCACAGAATGCTTGGACGATGTCACAAATGAGAAGAGGTTGATACAACAGAAATGTGGTTCTACAGAAGGATGCTGAGGAGTGAATATGTGAGAAATATATAAAACTGGGGCCCTAACAGGTGCTACCGTTCTGAGACAAGATGGATTAGGGAACAACAGCAATTAAGAGGAGATTCCACGCCCCACCAAAACTGCTAATCTCCCGATCTGAGGGCTTTCTGCCGGATATAGTTTATCGTCAGACCCAGGACTAGGCTTAATGAGTGAAAAAACCTGTAATCAAAACGTCGTTATTAAGGACAATAAATGAAAAGGATTCAAGGAGACAGAACATGACGATTGACATTGCATTCAAATTTTTGAAGATCAAAGTTGATTGAAAAGCTAGAAGCCGGAAGCGAGAAGTGCGAGAGAAGAAACAGCGTAGATCTCATGGTTAAACCTTACAATTTCAACTGAAAGCAGACTATCTAGCAGTCAACTAGTATTGCGCTTAAATTCATAAACTCGAGGTACCACAGAAGAAAGCTCACTACAACAGCTACCATGAAAATATTGATAGAAAAGGCACGCCAACTTTAATCTGCAAAAAATTAAATGCAATGTCAGTCGCTATCTACTATCTCGCGGGAGATACGTTACGTCAGTGAGAAAGTGAGTCGAGACCCCAGGTCATTTCCAATAACACCGCAGATTCTTCTTGTAATTTGTAGGTAGTTTTCTACCTACAATTTACAAGAACCCTTAAGAAAAATTCTGGTTGAAAACGCTAAAATTCTATATAAATCATATTACCGAAATCATCGAGATCGGCCCTGTATATAAGCCATTTCGCCCCCAGTATAAATCTCACCTTATTCAACAGTGGAAATCGTATGTTGAAATTTAAAAAAAATATATAAAATGATGCTCAAGTATCTCTAAATGCATGACAGAAGCATTAGACTAGATGTGACAGCAATATTTAATAGTTGTCTTAGCAACTGGTTCAATATAATCGTTATAAGGTAATGGTAAAACACTAACATGGGAAACAGTATTAATGTAACAGAGAAATATGTCTATCATATGTAGTGGGCAATAATGTAATCATATAGGTTATTTTCATAACTGTGCTTTTCTGGTCAATATTCAGCTATACTGCTCGGCCCACTTAATCTGATAATTTAAGAACACTCAAAAATATTCTAAAGGCTAATTATGAAAGTCAAGGTAAACTATGGAGGTCGCTAATTGTTGAAATGAATTGCCTAATGGCATGTATATTGGGTACAAGAATGAAATATATTGCTTCTACCCTGTGTTGACTCAGTGCTCATTCTTATATTTTCACACGCTCTAAACATGATATTTAGCCCTTTTACCAATAAATATATCATACGTTAAAACTATATATATTTTATCTTAAATATATATTTTTAATCGATTTCACCCAATGCAAGGCAGTAAAGCCACTAAGACACAAGGGGGTGACATGGTATGGAAGAATTAGGAACAGAAACATCAATAACGAGCAGGAAGAGTAATCAAGAGGACAGTAGACAGCGATTGACATTGCATTTAAATTTTTGCAGATTGGCTGGAAAACATGGAGCCGAAAGGGAGTTCCACAAGTGAGAAGTGCGAGAGAAGAAACTGTTAGCATAGAATTTACGGCTACATCTAGCCAGCTCAACTGTAAATTGATGCGATCTTGACGCCAGTATAGTATTGCGCTTAAATTACCATGAATGTATATATAGAAAATGCAGAAAGGCAACATCACATATACAGTGTGCGTGGGTAAATTGTCGCCATTTTTTATTTCGCGCATGCGCTTTTTTGTTTTTGATTTTGTCGACTACAAAGTATAGTAGGGTCAGTTGGGCACCGTCTCTGAGAAAAAAAAGCACCATGACACAATTAACCTCGCCAGAAATTTGGAAACGGCACGCTGTACCACTTGGAATTCGCACCAGAAGCTCCAGATTCCAGGTAGATAAACACAGATCTATCTGTATCTACTTTGCAAGTTAACAAATTGACGACACTTACAATGTTGCCAGCAGCCGGAACAAATTATGACGTGCCGACAATTAGTTGTGACTTACCTGTACGAATCCAAGACAAGAGAGTCTTTTGTTTATTTTTTTATACAGTCTTTTCAGTTTTATTTCTTTCCGTGTTCCCAACATCTACGAGGTCTGATCAAGATTATCGGGACTGTTGCTATGGTAACGGAGCTAAAGTTCGCAAAATGAAACCGCTGGGTACAGATCTCTTAGTGTGTATACCTGACTTCTGTCACGTATGCACACTAGGTTATTTTAAAGACATTTTTATGCTTAGGCATTCTTTTTTTTATAGATACAAATATTTAATTAAATGCTCTGTTTTATAATAAACAGTATTAACAACATTTACTGGCCTAAATGTCCGAGAAATTGTCATAGAAAATATGCATCCTCCGACAGGAAACGAACCTGTATCCTATACGGAACCGTCACATAGCCTGACGTGCTTTTACCAGTTTCACCACAGAGGAGCGTTCGGTTAGCAAGGTCGATTTTACTGTTTTTAAACTACAATTTTCGATGATTTTCTCACGTACATATCTGCTCGATGCGTATCCAAATGTAAACAAATGACGTCACACATTATGAAAGGGACAAATGCATTCTTTTTTTTATAGATACAAATATTTAATTAAATAATAAACAGTATTAACAACATTTACCGGCCGGAATGTCCGAGAAATCTTCATAGAAAACATGCGTCCTCCGACAGTAAGTTATATGCGTTCTCACTCACTTCCGTTGTTTATAGCAGAGCTTGGAAGGAAAGTGTGTAGAGTGTTGTCGTCTCACCAAAATGGCTTGTTCAGCAGTTTTTGGCCGAGGACAAAATTCCCCAGGTCAGACAACAACCATATTCCCTAAATCTCGTCCGTTTCGACTTTTCGCTCTTCAAAAATCAAATCGCTTTAAAATGACAAGATTTGAAGAGGTCGAGGAAATCCAAGAGAATGCGACGAAGGAGCTGATTTCTACCCAGAAAAGAATTCCAGGAATTCTATCAGTGGAAACAATCCTGTATAGTGTGTGGCTTCATAAGCGGACTATTTAGAAGGAGATTAAATGTCGAATTGATATGTATTGTAGTTTTCTTTTCATAGTCACAGTCCCGATACTTTTTGATCAGGCATTCAGTATTATACATTTTCTTATTTACTTACCAAAGAAACAGTCTGCCTGACTGACTCCAACGTCAAGCAAAGAGAGAGTGAGGGTGAGAAAAAGAGACTGACAGAAAGAGAGGGAGTGAGAGAATGAGAAGATATATGGAGATAGGGAAAAGTGAGGCAGAGATTAAGAAAGAGAGAGGGAAAGGATAGGGAACCTGAAAGAAAGAGAGAGTGAAATTCAAAAGAGAGAGAGAGAGAGAGAGAAAGAGAGAGAGAGAGAGAGAGAGAGAGAGAGAGAGGGGGGGACAGAACGAGGGAGAGGGAGAGAGAAACGGAAGTGGGGGAGGAAAAGAAAAACGAAGAGAGAGTGAAAGCGAAAGAGAAAAGGATGTATAGAGAAGGAGATAGTGACTAAAGAAGAAGATAAGTGAATAGATAAAGAGAAAGGGAAGAAAATACACATAGAGAGTGAGTGATTAATAGAGAGGGTGTGGGAGACCGATAGAGAGATAGATGGAACTGAGAGGGTAGGGGGAAAGATGGATAGATAGTGGATGTAAGGATGGAAGTAAAGAGGTGAGAACTTACTAATGGGACTGACTAATGAAGAAGATTATAGATAGAGTAGTTTAGAAAGAGAAGCGATAGAAAGATAGCTAGATAGTGAGGAAAAGAGGAGAGAGGGGAGAGCAATGAAAAGAGAGGGTGAGACGAGAATAGATAGAAAGCAGGGTGGGAGGTAAGAGCCAGAGGTAGAGAGATGGAGGGAATGTGAAAGGAAGGGAGAGAAATTGGCAAGAATGGAACGCGTGATGGATGGAGAGAGAAAGAAAGAGTGACAAAAGGAGAATGAGAGCGGAGGATGGATAGAGAAAGATAAGGAGAAGGAAAGAAGGTGAAGAGATAGATAGATAGATAGATAGATAGATAGATAGATAGATAGATAGATAGATAATGAACAGAATTAGATAATGAACAGCATTAAGGTAGGTAGATAATGAACAGAATTAGATAGATAGATAGATAGATAGATAGATAATGAACAGAATTAGATAATGAACAGAATTAGATAGATAGATAGATAGATAGATAATGAACAGAATTAGATAGATAATGAACAGAATTACATAGATAGATAGATAGATAGATAGATAGCGAGTGAGAGTGAAAGAAAAATGAGTGAGGAGTTGGAAAAGAATTACTACTTTAGAATCCTTTAGGATTGTTTATTTTGAAATTTCAGAAATGTAAAACTAGCTAACATTTTTGTTAAAACAAATAATTAAATGATAGGAAAGCGATTGATAAAAAAGATCAAAATAAAAGATTTAAATGAATATAAGAGAAATACCCGCTTCCCACATAAAAAAAGAATGAAAAATGGTTTTAGACATGTAGTAACAAAAAAAAGAATGAAAACATTCCATAAGAAGAAAGAACATAAAGTCGCAAAAACGGTAAGGAATCATCTTTGTCGTTGTCGACATGGTAAAAAAAATGAAGAAAAATTTCGATGAAAAAGAAAAGGCTACTAACAGACGAAAGGAGAGAGGAAGAAAGAAAGTGTATAATAAAGAAAAAAGAGAGGTAAGAATCTGAAAAAGAAAAAAGAAAAAAATAGAGAAACAAGCAGGATGAAAGAGAGGATAAAAACATCGTGAGAAGGTAAGTCAACTGGTAAATACACACGCATACACACAAACACACATAAAACAGAAAGAAAAGAAAAATATATAAAATATATATATAAAACACAAAAAATAAAATAAAATAATAAAGAACAAAGAAAATTTGCTAAGTATATATATAAAAAAACCAACATTGAGAGAATTCCCGAAGTAAGAATCTGAAATAGCAAAAATCAAAATAACCAGGCAAAAAGAATGTTGAAAGAAAAAAAAAAAAAAAAGAAAATGACACATGAGAAATAATAAGATAAAAAGAAAGAAAGGCTTTAAAAAAGAAAGAAAGAAAGAAGATAATCGTACAAAAAAGCAGAAAAAAAAGGCAAAGGAAAACGGAGAATGAAAGGGAAAGAGAACGAGGACGAGAAGAGATCACATTCTTTTTTACCAATACATTTCATGTACTCTTCATTTTATTAATCGAGATTCTTTTTATTCTTCTCACATTTCTATTACCCGATTATTGAAGATCGTCTTTTTATCCTTGTTTTTTTTCGGCACTTGAAGTGCTAGTTTCTTCTTCATTGTCGAATTCTTCTTCGGTCAAATTATATCTCATCAGTATGGTTCTCCAGGTCTGTGTCACCCTGAAGTCTTTACATTTATCCTCCTAGAGCTCAAATTCTGCATTTAGATGTGCATTTATTAATATATTCTTTATAGCTCTATATAACCACACTAGCAGCATGACCCGGCGTTGCCCGGGCTTAATTAAAAAATAGTACGACTCACACAGCAATCGCTATCACTTGACTTAAAATATTTTTGCCCTTCCTTGCCTTTAAAGGAGTGCCCTTTGCCGTGCTGATGTTGCTACATGCCTTACTTCTTGCCTATCTCACATTGCAAATTTTTTCTAAGCTCTATACTAAACATTAAATCTGTTACGAAAAAAGAACTAAACAAAATGAACACAAAACGATCAGCTTTAAAAAAGGACTCGTAACTGGAAAAACCGAATGAAAAAAGAATGTTAACAACAAATAATTTTTCACACCCAACCCAGTTCTGCGGAATCAGAATCAACGTTGAGTTTAAGCAAGCGAATGAGCCAATTGGAGTAAAGTGCCATGCAGATTTAAATTTTTCCCACTTGTGATGAATGCAGCTATCGATTTTTTTGCGTGCTAGCATGCTAGTTAACATTCGTGTCAATCAGCTGTTGGCTCTTACGCTGGCCAATAGAATCTTCCTGCCTATTCGTAGCAGCCAGCTATAGTTTCTCACTCTGGCCAGTAAAAAATGGCTGCAAAATACATGAAAATTGCCGTAGAAGCTTAAAAAAATCGATTATTTGCACTATCGATGGGAGTTGGGAAATGCAAAGTTGGTCTTGGCCTTCCCGTTAACTTCGAGCATGTGCATGTAAATTTTGATGCAATCCGTCGAAAATTGTGGCCGTGCATTCGTCACACACACACACACACACACACACACACACACACACACACACACACACACACACACACACACACACACATCCTGCCTTTTATAGATAGAGATTGAGCACTGTTTTGTTAACAGCAAAAATTAAAAAAATTGAAAATTTATATATGCGCCTGATTGCACGCACGTATGGCTGCTTGTATCTATATTTATTTAATTCATAGTTTTAAATATATATATATATATATATATATATATAAAAATGAATATAAGGATCGATACCCAGTGGCGATAGTTTCATACTAAAACGCAATCTTCACGCAATCGCAATCATCATGACACACACACAACACAAGAGAAAAAACAGCCGAAAAATACACAATTCCTTGGAATTTTTTTAAAATGCTGGATACAAAGTAGAGGTTAATATTATAATATTAATATTTAAAATATTTTAAAAATATTTTATCATGGTTACACAGAAATTCCCCTGTTTCGGAACTAAAATTTTCGTTACATTTTCAAGGGATGTAGTATAACTTCAGAAAAAGTTATTCAGCATCGCTTGAAAATGGAAAGAAAATTTAATTCCGAAATAGGGGAATTTTCGTGTCGCGGTGATAAAATATTTTATGTTTTATATATATATGTGGGCATTGAGGTCAACACCCAACGGAGACAGCCTGTGTCATTCTTAAACTCAATCTTCAGGCAATCGTAATTATGTAATAGACTGTGGTCGTTGGGTGTTGACCTCAGTGTTCACTTTTATTTTTTATATTTACATAGGCTTTGTCTCTGATATTGAGCACTTTAAACTATAAATATAGCATAGCTTAAAACGATATTTTTATCAAACATGTATATGTATATAATATCGCCAGACAGACTGTTTCACAGCCCATCAGTGTGGCAAGACATCCGATCGCTTCAGGCCGGGACCGAAACCCGACCGATTTGGTATCGGTTAGAGATTCTAACCCCTAGGCTATCGACGTCCAGCAGAGAGAAAAGCGCATTTTTGCGTATTTATTTTTTCATAAACACACTATAGTATTTGGTACATTAGTGTGTAAATTATCTTCAGATATTATGTTTCTGTAAAAGAATAAAATGAATAAAAAAGACAAAAGAAAGAACAATTTTAGTCGACGAATTTTGTCCTCTGGGGGATTTTATCAAGACAATATAGGATTTATTTTACTGCACCAGTTATGTGCAAAAGCAAGGATACCATTGGTTTATGTTGGCTTTTGAATTTGAGAACGTTCATGAATATTCATGAAGTGGAGGAAACGTCAGTCAAAACATGGGAAGGACACAAGATGCCATAATTCAAAGTCTGGTAAATTCATTACCTTATGTTTTTGAACATGTACAGAACATACGTCCATCATATAGCATAACAATCGAATCACAATTTAAACAATATTCATTATATATATATATATATATATATATATATATATATATATATATATATATATATATCCTGAATATTATATTATATTATATATATATATATATATATATATATATATCCTGAATATATATATATATATATATATATATATATATATATATATATATATATATATATAAATAGGTTCGACAATTTATTTATTAAAGACATATTTTATGTTTAACGTTCTTTTGACAGGATTCGAACCTGCATCCTATACGGAAATGCTCTTTTTTTTCAAACAGTGTTAAAGAACGAAAATTTTCTATGAAAATTTCTCGACATTCAGGCCGGTAATGTTATTTAGAACTGTTTATCATAAACAGAGCATTTGCTTAAATACTTGTATCTATAAAAAAAATAACAACCTTAAACATAAAAATCCTTTAATAAATAAATTGTCGGACCTTGTCCATTTCTTAATATATGACGTCATTTGTTTACATTCGATACGCCAGAGCAGTTATGAATGTCCGAGATTCATGGAAAATTGAGTTTATAAGCAGTAAATTCGACCTTGTCTACCGATTGGTTTCTTTGTAGCTCAAGCGGTAAGGCACGTCAGCGTATATGACGGTTCCGTATAGGATGCAGGTTCGAATCCTGTCAAAGAACGAAAATTTTCTATGAAAATTTCTCGGACATTCAGGTCGGTAAATGTTATTTAATACTGTTTATCATAAACAGAGCATTTGCTTAAATATAAAAAAATAACAACGTTAAACATAAAAATATGTCTTTAATAAATAATATATATATATATATATATGTGTGTGTGGGGGGGTGATATAGAATCCGAATATTCGATAAATATATTATAAAACAGTCTGTCCTGCAACTTACCCATTGGAGAAGAGGAGAATCCATACCTTTCCCAAGGGTATTGGCACCTAAGTGAATGTAATGGATCCGACTGGAATTCGAACTCTGCTCTCAGATTCCGTTCTACGAGCCGCTATCCATTGCTCCACAGCGCCTCCTTGGACCATTGCTCTAACCAATTCTGTTCTGTCCGATTTTGAATTTTACCACTGAATTATTTCCAGATTAATCCCTGGTTTATAATCTCTGCCAAAAATAACCGAACGTGTGAGCAACGACGAAGTTTTAGAGAAAAAGGAGGGAAAAAGGAAACTTATGATTAACACCAAAAATTGACAGTTGAGGTTTCTGGGGCACATAATGAGAAAGCGAGGGCTTGGAATATCTGACACTCACAGGGCAGATAGAAGGACATTCAGAAGCAAGGCCTCTGGTCGGGACGTTTCAAAGAGCGTGGAACCACCTCTTAATTGCTGTCGTTCCCAGGTCCACACTGACCCGGGGTGGTAGCATCAGTTATGGTCCCAGCTATAGGCCTCTGGTCGGGACCTTTCAAAGAGCGTGGAACCACCTCTTAATTGCTGTCGTTCCCAGGTCCACACTGACCCGGGGTGGTAGCACCAGTTAGGGTCCCAGCTATAGGCCTCTGGTCGGGACGTTTCAAAGAGCGTGGAACCACCTCTTAATTGCTGTCGTTCCCAGGTCCACACTGACCCGGGGTGGTAGCACCAGTTAGGGTCCCAGCTATGAGCAAATAGTGACCCCCTCCCAAACAAAAACAAAACCCCATGAAAGTATAAAAAAACTTTTATAGTAAAATAATCAGCAATACATTTTATAGTAGAAATACCAACAATACATTTTATAGAAAAATGACTAACAATACATTTTATCTGTAGTTGAAGTCATACAATTGCGTTAAAGAGCACCTCAATATGGTGTAAAGGTTAGCAAGCTTGTCTAACTAAAGCAATTACGACTGAATAGTGAGTTCGGTCCTCATTGGGTGCGCCATTCATCCGGCCTTGTGCCACATCTAAGCTACGTTTAGAAAATCAACATAAAATTGTGTTAAAATATATTTAGTTGAAACCATAAACTTATGTTCAAAATATTTATATATCGGCCTTAAATAGCCCATAGAGATGTTGATATGCCGCTAAAAAAAATCAACAAAGCAAAAAACCAACATGAAAGAACTTTCATGGCATTAATCCATATAATATCCTACAATTTGTTTTTAAATCAAACTGTCTTCCAAAATATAACTTCAACAAAACTGTAACATAAAAAACATCACCGCCTCTAGAAATTATGTCCACACAACCATTAGTGAGCTTGAGTAAATAGATGGCGGAACACGGTTTTAGAGAAATAAACATAAAAAATATTAAAAGCTACAAAGGATAGGAAATTGTGGAGAGCCATGATACATAAAGCAACAGAAGAAATAGCTCCCAAGCTTTCGTTTTCATTCACTATCATAGGCTTTCTTTATAACTTCTTTCGCTGAACATTTTTCCCTTCTTCAATGCTTGCCTCAAATCATCTATAGGAAACCGTGACAGCTAGATAGGGACCAGCAATTACGCGCCTGGAATAGATTGTTGTAATTCTAAGTACATTCGCAGATAAACACGACTGGCTTATCGTCTATTTTCATGATGATTTTACAATATGGACTCTTAACCCTTTCACTGAAGCATTGTCCGGATCCCTCCCAATCACCAATACCACCCTGTAAAAGTGAAATATAATCTTGTTACAGAGACAATGTCTTTACATTACCATTTTTGAACATTTATAGTTTCAAAGCTTTGAGAAGAAAGGCCATTTTAAATTAAGTTAGGCTTCTTTCTTTCATTCAAATCTCATCTTAAATAACGGGGATATTTTTAATCATGTACAGAACTAAAGTCGTATATTATCGTCTGCTAGGAAATTCAATTAAAATTGTATTCGTTAGTGAAAGGGCGAAGGTTTATAAAAGCAGTAAGAGATATCAGAAAACAGTCTATACTGGTAACACCTTATCGATTACAAGATGGCGTGATCATTTCAAGATGGCGGCAGTCATTTCTTAAAGTGGTGATAACTAACATAAATGACTTAGATTTTGTTTCTCTGCTGCACCACACTTGACAGTGTACAAATACAGTGTATGGTAGGCAATTTTACAAGCCATACAAAAAATTTATAGTTTTAAAGCTTCGTATTTGTTTGTTATATTAATATTTACTGAGACTAGGAGAGGTAGTTGGTGTAATGTCTGTCGGAAAAATGCTCTCGGCGAGCCAAATTCAAATACTAAGTTTATTTATCGTCACTTTGCACTGATGCCTTTGGAAAAGGCATTAATCTCTTTTCTCGTTAGCTATGAGTAAAACAGCTGGGCAGACTTTGCCGTTTAGCCTTTCAAGGGCAACCAGTCTAGAAGAAAGGCAACTCTGAATTCAAAATCAATCTGAACAGGAGAGGGATGGGCTCCGTCAGGGCTATATTTTCAACGACACGCCAATTGTTGCTGTTTTAGTACATTAGATGCCCCAAAGACACTAGAATTAATTATTTAAATGCCACATCCTTTCAAATCATAAATCATCCAGATCTTTCATTCCCTTTTATAATCGAAATTTCAAATCACATAATGAGGAAAGAGGGCTTGGAAAATTTGATACTCGCAGGGCAGATTTGAGGAAAGAGAGACAGAAGAAAACAAAGCATAACCTACCTGGCGAGTTTGAGTAAATGGATGACGGAACAAGGTTTAGGAGAGATAACGAAAATACGAAATATATTAAGAGCTACAAATGATAGGAAATTATGGAGTGTCATGATCGCCAACGACCTGAAGGGACACGGCATATAGAAGACGACTTGCTATGGCTTCTTTGGAATGATAAGGGATTGGTTACTGAATTTAGTCCGTCGGTATTTATGACGGACACCAGCCAATCATATTTCAGGGAGGGGGAACACAGGTGTATGCCTATTCCATTATATCCCTTTTTCAACTTGGCATAGGGTTAAATAGAGGACAAAGAAGACAGTTTAGCACCAATCTTTTTTATTTAGTTGATTCCTTTTCTAATGCTTCTCTTATTTAAAACCAGAAAATATTTTTAGAATGTAAGAATTTTTACGTGAAGATAATAATGGTTTAGTGATAAATGTCTTGCTAATTAACCCATAGCTGGGAGGAGAAGTGTTGGATTCATGCCTTTCCCAAGGGTATTTGTGCGTTAGTGAATATAACGAACCCAACTGGAATTGGAACTCGGCTCTCCGATTAACAATTCCGAGCCACTATCCGTTACACCACCCGCCATCCAAACTTAGAGCACTTGGTATTCCCAAAGGGTCACTCATCTAGGTACTAACCAAGCTCGATGTTGCTTGACTTCGGTAATCGTACGGGAGCCTGTGTTTCAACGTAATGTGGCCGCAAGCCCCAACCATTCTACTTTGAAAAATCAGCATTTGAAGTACTAGCTTTTAATAGATATTTGAATATTATCCCCAGCCGCTTGTGGAAACCACATTTCCATATTAGCCAAGAAGAAGTTATTAAGACAATGATATGAGTGTAACTTATTAGGTGGAGTCATAAATAATTTCCAATTTTGTTTATGTTATATACCATACCTATAAACACTAATGGGTATGTCTCAATCCTCATAAATACGTTGGACACTATTGTAAGTGGGGGTAATATAGTGCCTAAGTAGTCCATTGCTAGCAGTGGTTTACCTACTTCACGCCGCTGGCGAGTATTGTATTTTGTTGATGTTATAAAGATTATCATTTCATTTCCAACCTCCGTTTTGGTTATTCCTCATTCAGTAACCTTTTCTAGGTTATAACACTATCTCTCTATCTATTTCCTCGTTGACATCTATCTATCTATCTATCTATCTATCTATCTATCTATCTATCTATCTACCGTACCTATGAACACTAATGGGTATGTTCCAATCCTTATAAATACGTTGGACACTATTGTAAGTGGGGTTATTATGCTGTCTATGTAGTCCACTACTACCAGTAGTTTACCTACTTCACGCCGCTGGCGAGTATTGTATATTGTTGATGCTATAAAGATGACCATTTTTCATTTCCAACCGTTTTAGTTATCCCTCATTCAGTAACCATTTCTAGGTTACAACAGTTTATCAACATCATTCATCAAGGATAAAGTACAATTGCAACTTGTTCAATTATATATTCACTATTATTTGCTGTTCCTGGGTATGACGATAAACTACATCTGGCAGCACAGCTTCTAATCGGGATGTTTTGAGGAGCTTGAAATCAACTCTTAATTGCTATTGTTCCCAAGTCCACCTGTAAGGTTTCCTAGCTATAGGCAAATAGTGAGCACCGAAACTGGGGTCAAAATGTGAAAATCTGTGTCGCGCCAGAAAGTTTTTCTCGTCTGAGTCCATCCTTGAAATCTATAAATCAACCATTCTCCCTTGCATGGAATACTACTGCCATATATGGTCTGGTCCCCACCCCGCTGTTCGTCTTAAGATCCTCGAAAAAATCCAGAGACGGATATGCAATGTGACTGGCCCTGATCTGACATCGCGTTTTCAGTCGCTCTCTCACAGACGTGCCGTCACTATCCCTTTGTCTTTTCCACAAATACTTTTACGAGCTACTTTCGCTGGTTCCCGTACTAGATGCATTTAAGCGTGCTACTAGGTTGGCATCTCAGTCTCACCCTTTCACTGTCGAAACGGTTAAGCTGTCTCTTCTATTCCAATAGCTTTATGTCTCGTATGTCCCGTCTGTGGAACTCTCTTCCTCTTACTTGCTCTCCTGATAGCTATAATCTTCAAATATTCAAATGCAATGTCAATCGACATCTCCAGATGCCTTGATCTCTTCCCGTCCTTCTCTTCATCCTTTCCTCTATCACGCCTCCTTACCCTTGCTCCCATTCTCCGTAACCCCTTGCCTGCTAGTGGCACTCCCGCTTTGCTTGAGGTGAAATGCTTTAAAAAAAAGATAGAAAATTATCAGCAATATAATTTTTGAAAAAAAATTGCCAAAGCTCACAAGAAAATAAAATTTTTGCATTAAATGACCTATAAGGAGTTGATGTGAGGTTAGACAAACCAAATCCAAACTTTTATTTGCAATGATTTCTTGTCACTTATCAGGCAGTTCTGAGTAAAAATTCCGAAGTTTTGAGTAAAATTCCGAAGTTTTGAGTAAAATTCCGAAGTTTTTGATGTGAAAATTTTTTTTCCATGAATTCTGGTTTTTATTCGAGAAGGTTTTCCCATTAAAACGTTTTACTGTCATCAAAAAAGGTTGGTTGGTTGAAGGTTAGATGATCTTAATGATTTGTTTTTACGGCCTATCAACCATTTCAAGGTTATTTAAAGCCAGAAAATATTTATAGACTTCAAGAGGTTTTGGAAGATAATAATAATTTACTGATACAAGTCGTACTAATTAACCCATAGGAAAGGAAAGGTGGATTCATACATTTCCCAAGTAAATTTAACGAACCCGACTGCAACAGGAACTCGGCTCACCCATTCCCAATTCCGAGCTGTTACTTATTACACCATATTCAAGCTTACAGTACCTGGTGTTGCCAAATAGTCACCCATCTGGGCACTGACCAGGATCGACGTTGATCGTACGAGAACCGGTATTTGAACGTGATTTGACCGTAAGCCAAGATCTGGTGAATATAATGGCTAGGGTAGAAGAGACCAATCCTGTTCCAAAATGTTTCCCCCATGTTATTCTTGCTGTACGCATCCTTATAGTGTCATGATGACTTTCTAAGCGTAGCATACACGTGGCACAAGGCCGAAAGTATAAGGCGCCCAGCGAGGATCGAACTCCTATTCAGTCGTTTGCTAACCAGTGTCCCTACTTATGTTGTCATGGAGGAGAAGAACGTTTTTCCTATTGACGAGCGGAGAGCGTATTTCGATATAACCTTTATGGACACATTACAGCTCCTGGACGTATAAATGTGCATTTAGTTTTTCATTGCCCTTTCAGAACTCTAAATGAATAATACCAAGACAATCCCAGCTCACACAATACTTTTTTTTTTTACCATTGTTGTATTTAATCCACTTTTCATCGTCTATTATGATATATTAAAAGAGGATACATTTTTTTTTTATTACAGTTGGTTTCTCAAAACGGAAATTATTACTGAAACTAATAGATGCTATTTTGGAGACGAGAAAAAGTAAGTTATTATGAATAAAATCAGGCGGTGACCATATGTAGAAAAAAGAACACAACGAAGAGAAAAAGTAAAGAACAAACTAGGAAATTATGAAATAACAGGAAAAAAGAGATAAAAAATATAAATGAAACGTTTAAATGAATAACGAGCTACCCTCCCTGATAAAATGTAGTAAAAAAAAAAAAAAAAAACGGAAAAAGAAATTAAGAAAGAAAAAAACAAAACAAAAACAAAGGTGGAATGAAGATATTCAACAGAAAGAAAGAGCATGAAAAACGTTAAGGAATCGTCTTGTCGCCGTCTACAGTGTAAAAATGAAGAAAAATGTCGTTAAAAAAACAAGAAAAGAAGAGACAACAGACGAAAGAAGACGGATAGAAAGAAAACGAAGAAAGAAAATGTATAATAAAGAAAGAGAGAGAGAGAGAGAGAGTGAGAGAGAGAGAGAGAGAGAGGTGGGTATGTAAAAAAACAAAGAGAAACAAGCGGAAGTAAAAGATGATGTTTCGGAGACTAGAAAGAGTAAGTTATTTTGAATAAACAAGACGGGTGGCCATATGGAGAAAAAGAAAAGAACACAACAGAAAGTAAAGAACTAAATGGGAAATTAATATGGCGGATTGAATATGGTTGAAGCTGACAATAATTTAAAAGAAAAAAAAAGTATCATGATCTTGCCAAAGAACGGCGAAAAATTCTGTATATTAGGATGAAGGTCATGCCGATAATCTTCAGAGAACGTAGTTTCGAAGATCCTCGCATATATCAGATGCAACAGCAAAATTGTCTAAATCTTGTAACAGCAAAATTGTCCATTTGTTAGATTAAGATTTGAGCCGTTGTATCTTAGAAATGATTAAAGATATCTTACCGGGATTCTCTGAGGTTTTTATAAAACTATTGGACTCATAACAAAAGAATCGCGATGAAATCGATCAGAAACGAAAATGAATCTTAGAAATGATTAAAGATATCTCACCGGAATTCTCAGAGGTTTTTATAAAACTATTGGACTCATAACAAAATAATCGCGATGAAATCGATCAGAAACGAAAATGAATCTTAGAAATGATTAAAGATATCGTACTGGAATTCTCTGATGTTTTTATAAAACTATTGGAATCATAACAGAAGAATCGCGATGAAATCGATTAGAAACGAAAATGAATCTTAGAAATGATTAAAGATATCTTACTGGAATTCTCTGAGGTTTTTATAAAACTATTGGACTCATAACAGAAGAATCGCGATGAAAATCGATTAGAAACGAGAATGAAATGTTCATCATTAATTAATCATAGCTAAGGACCGGAAGCTCATGAAGGATTAAAATAAAGTTCAAAATATATATATATATATATATATATATATATATATATATATATATATATATATATTATTCCAGGATGATTTTTTTCTCTAACCATCTAACTTTCTGTCTTAGAGTCACAAGATGCCTCTCACGTTTCATGTACGATTTCATTTTCACTGCTCTTTAGATTGTCATAGCTGAAACTTCACTTACACGTACCAAACGTCTTATGGATTGAGTTGGATCTTTTCTAATTGATCTCTTTAGCTGTAAGTTGAAATGACGATTCCTCTTCCTGTTGTGACCTCCTGATCCAGTTTTCCTCTGTAATGTTCCTTCTTTTTTTAAAAACTTATTCACTGTTTTCTTGAGGGTTCTTGAATGGACTTTGAAGATGGAAACCAGAGTATGAATGTTGGTACCATTACTGAAAGTAATGAATAATATTTTTCCTCTCACCATTGCTCAGTTGGATGACATAGTGCGGCTGACACAAATCGATTATAACCTGTTCTCTTTCTAGTAGGATTCTTCAGTGATTCTTACGACAAATGGTGTCAAGATGGCTAAACGTCTTCTATGAAAACCTTGAAAAGAGGAACTCAATTAGTTTAGTGGTTTTTTTTAAAAATTTTTTTTAGATATTAAACATTTTGTGGGATGGACAATTTTTCTGTTACACCCGGTATATTGGAATACTTAGATCCGTGAAAGAATTAAAACGATGTGTATGTTATGAAGTGGAATCTTATCATTTATCTTGTATACCGAGAGCTACCCTACCCATATTGCTCGGGCATTTATATAGTCTAAGCCTTAGCTATGCCAATTCAGTCAGTCAGTTATGTGCCATATGTGTTACACGCTTAGGCGAACATGTATCTTTCAATGAAGTGGAATCTTATCATTTATCTTGTATACCGAGAGCTACCCTACCCATATTGCTTGGGCATTTATATAGTCTATGCCTTAGCTATGCCAATTCAGTCAGTTAGTTATGTGCCATGCGTGTTACACGCTTAGGCGATCATGTATCTTTCAATACATGACTGACGAGACAGTAGGTTGCCATTTCTTTCTGCGGTAGACCAGTTGCCATCCAAGGCTATAGAACCCGGTCTGTACTGCAATTTACCCAAGATTATTGGCACGTAAGTGAATGTAATGAATTCGACTGGAATTCGAACTCGGCTCCCCGTTCCTCAATCCGAACCTCTATCCATTATTCCAACGTGCCTCTCTGCATTTACAGTGCATCTCAATATTACTGAAGTCGGGAAAAAGACCGATAGAATTACGGGAGACTTGCTGTCACCGGGTCTCCGGTGAGAGCAAGTCAATACGAAAAAGACACGAAAAAGACACAAATAATATATTTTAACGAAATTCCTTCGGACAATAACATGAAAAGAAATGATAAAAATATATATACAAGTAACCATAGGTCCTTGACTCTAAAAGGGCCATTTCCAATGGTTAGGGTATATGATAATTGATTATGACTTTGCAACCCTCTTCTTACGTTCACGATATTAATATTGCGGAAAAGCAACTGTAGGGACCGACCTGACCTTCTCTTCCATTGCCCTGTGCCATCATGATCTCCTCATCACCTCGGAGACTCTGTTTGTTCACAGATTAAAAATTGTATATGGGCTGTTATTCCTCCTCAAGTGAGACTACGTAAACAGAAAAGGGAGTTCCCTGTATATCCAATTTTGAGTGGTTGCTCCCTGATAATGAAATCTAATTTCTAGCTCAACCGTCCGCAGGCATGGCGACCGGTTTTGTGTAAGGTAAAAAGAAAAGAAAAAGTAAATGAGAAACTAAAAAAAGAAAAGCAAAAGAAATGTATATAGAAAGTATACAGAGAGGTTTTCTTCAGGAAGCGGAAGTCAGATGTGTGTATCATAATATTAACTAAGATGACCGCAAGGAGCGGGAAAACGCTTCCATTTCTTTTACCAAGGGAGGTAATCAATCCTAATGTCAGGAACTTGCTTCTCAGAGCGATCAACAATCTATATTGGATTTTCCCTCTTTCTGTCCGATTTGTCCACATTTCCGTATGTATCTAACAGAATGGTTTTTGATGAGGATTTCATTCAAATGACGACAATAGTTCGTCTTCCCCCGAGAAAGATTTTCAGCTTTTCGTGTCTAGAAATCACGGAATTTCCAAAGCATTTTACCCATTTTCTATTAAGTAACAGACGTTTTTGTGTAAATATGTAACATGGAGAACGTGTGTTTTACAAGTACACAAATATACTGAGACAGGGACGCATAGAATCTAAGACTAAAATTCTTATTAATAGACAAAAAAAATATTTCTGAAAATGAATGAAACATTTTTACACATAAATGAATATTCTAAGGTGATTGGAAAGATTTGTATTTTTTACGGTTTATCAACACTTTGGGTGTTATTTAAAGCCAAAACATTTTTTGTATTAGAATATTTTTTTTAATTTTTCGAGTGAATATTGCATTAACAATCTTTTTGATAATAAAAATGGTTTTTCAAATAAAATTCTACTATTTAACCCATAGGTGGATTACATGTAGCCGTACGTTTTCCACTTGCGCGCAAGTGAATATAGCAAGTATAACAAAGTGAATATTACTAGAATTCGGCTCTTCGTTTTCTCATTTCGAGACGCTATTACATCAGCTGCACATTCTCTGAAAAGAGAGAAGCAATAAATTGGCTAATATGTCTTCAAGGTCCATTATAGACATTAGTATATCAATGATATACTAACACTTTATGAAGACGGAAAGAAAAAAAAATAATACAGAGATGAATTACAAAAGGTTAAAGTGAAACTATTTTATATGCAAAACAACAGTATACACACACACACACACACACACACACACACACATATATATATATATATATATATATATATATATATATAATTAATTAATTAACAAATCAGAGACTTCAGAAAACTATGGAAATATTTTATTTCGTGAAACCGATAAAATTCGATTTCGTTTCGTCAGACCTTACGGTTTCAAAAATCGAATTTTATCGGTCTTGTGAAATAAAATATTTCCATTTTTCTGAAGTCTCTGATTAGTTAATTAATTATTACTTGCTCTGTTATTACATTGGGCTCTCGGGATTTATATCCTCCATGGAATTATCCAGGCGGATTACCAATTAACTTCATCATATATATATATATATATATATATATATATATATATATATATATATATATATATATTTGGTTGGATAGATGTGAGTTTGTGACCCTGGGTTTCACGCTTTAGCGATCGTCAGACAAACTGATTACTGTTTTAAAAAATTTGGGTTTATGTAGATTGCGTGTATTGGTGTTATTGTGGAAGTGGTGGGGGAGATTTCGTCGTTTTGTCATTCATCGTACTAACGCAAACATCGATGTATGCAGACACATATACATATACATACTTGGTCGTCCGTCGGGACTCATACATAGATATAAACATATGTAGACAGTTTCGGCTATGACACATGTATGTATACGGGTGGTGTTATGTCTATACATACGCATTTGTATGTTGAAATGTTGAAATTTAAACATTGGAAGTGTGGCGGAAATGACTCGTTATTGTCTCGTGAATGTATCCATGTCATATTATGAAATTTTTTTTTTTTTTTCATCTATCCAACCAAATATGTTAGCTCTATCTCTGATATTGAGCGCTTTCTAATAAGTACCGCGCATATAATATATAAATAATTATACATATATATATATTTATTTATATTTATATTCACTTTTCACATATATATATATATATATATATAATAGCTGGCCACTCGTATTCGAGGATACACGTCTACTAGGGCGGCCCGCCAATCCTTATTGTAGACGCTCGCTCAAGCGCATTTGTGTTTGCTCAGCACCCACAGAGCCCATCTGTGGTTTATACTGCAACTATGCTGAGCAGACCTTTACAGTTTCTGGGAGAGAACGCGTTATCTAGCGTGATCACCAATTTGAACAAGGCCAGCACGCTCAAGCCTTCGGCCATGACGAATTGGGGATTCCTGCTGGCTCAGCTATCGACAGACTCCAAGATTTCCGTATACCCAATTTCACATTATCAGGCTTTGTTCATTCCGTGGCATGGCTTTCAGGCACTTTCCAAAGGTGGCGCACGCTGGGATCGACCTCAATCCATTCCGATTACATCAGGAAACTCCTTCCTGACAAACTGACCATGGTGAGAATCGAACTGGGTCTCATGGTCAGAAAGTGCAATGTTCTAACCACTTCAGTCTTATGGATATGAGAAATTTATATATATATATATATATATATATATATATATATATATATATATATATATATATATATATATATATATATATATATGGGGTCCACCCTTTTTTCATACAAGTGGACTCGACCAGTGTGTACTTGTACTGCTGTCGGTGAATGCTCGGGTGTTAGTTAGAGAGATATACAGTGAGAGTAGATAGAGTGAGGTAACCGCTTTGTAGGAGTCACAGTTGCGAGCACGTAGACTCAGAAGAAAGTCCTACTTCGATACTGAATTTCCCAGACTCTCTCTATATATTATTATTGCTACTAACCGCATTTCTGGATCTACTAACCGTATTACCAATTGTATTATTACGTTAATACATTTATTTGCTATATTTCATTCCTGCGTTTGTCATTCATTGGAGACCGAATTTCATCTCGGAATCCACAACAATATATATATATATATATATATATATATATATATATATACTGTGAGAGTATCAATTTTTTCAAGGCATCTTTCCTCATTATATGCCCTAGAAATTTCAATTGTCTCTTCCTAAGTATAAGTTTTCTTTTTATTTTCACTTTCTCTTCATCATTCAGTCCATGATATTCTCAGCATCCTTTCTCTTCATCGTTCAGTCCATGATATTCTCAGCATCCTTTCTCTTCATCGTTCAGTCTATGATACTCTCAGCATCCTTTCTCTTCATCGTTCAGTCCATGATATTCTCAGCATCCTTTCTCTTCATCGTTCAGTCCATGATATTCTCAGCATCCTTTCTCTTCATCATTCAGTCCATGATATTCTAAGCATCATTTCTCTTCATCGTTCAGTCTATGATACTCTCAGCATCCTTTCTCTTCATCGTTCAGTCCATGATATTCTCAGCATCCTTTCTCTTCATCGTTCAGTCCATGATATTCTCAGCATCCTTTCTCTTCATCGTTCAGTCTATGATACTCTCAGCATCCTTTCTCTTCATCGTTCAGTCCATGATATTCTCAGCATCCTTTCTCTTCATCGTTCAGTCTATGATACTCTCAGCATCCTTTCTCTTCATCGTTCAGTCCATGATATTCTCAGCATCCTTTCTCTTCATCGTTCAGTCTATGATACTCTCAGCATCCTTTCTCTTCATCGTTCAGTCCATGATATTCTCAGCATCCTTTCTCTTCATCATTCAGTCCATGATATTCTCAGCATCCTTTCTCTTCATCGTTCAGTCCATGATACTCTCAGCATCCTTTCTGTAGACCTAAATTTCTGTTGCTTCAGATCTCTTTTTTTGCCCGTGGTGATTGTCCTGTATTCACCCTCAGATAAGAGGACATATTACATAACACTTCAGTACTCTTTGTTTTAAACGAAATTTTTCTGTTCTTTTAATATTTGCTTATCTTTTGGCATGCGGCTTTGGCTATTCCAATGCGCGTTCGTGTTTCAGTGTCACACTTTCAGCCATGAATTAGGGACCCTAAAGCTTAAGCATCATTATTGACTCTACAAGCAGGGATTTCCCAACATTCCTTTTCGGCTGAAACAGTTATCAGTACGCTTTATGGTGCACGTGTCACTACCAACAAAGTGAAACCTTTTATCTTACAACATCTGACTTTACTGCGTATGCATCGTTCTTTTTTTTTTTAATCATTTTGCCTCAAGAAAGGAAATAAAGCCACTGAGACGCAAGTATTAGGGAATATAATAAAAAACTATTAAGAAGAAAGAACATTAAAAAAAATCAAGAATTAAGAAGACAGTAAATAACGATTGACATTGTATTTAATTTTTTTTAAGGTCAAAGTTGACTGGGAGGCAAGAAGTCGGAAGAGACTTGCGATAGAAGAAACTGTTAGCATAGAACTTACGGTTACATCTAACTATTTCGACTGTAAAATGATGAGACCTTAACGCCAATCTAGTACTGCGCTTAAATTCATATTATCTCGGTACCATAGGGGAAAGTTCATCAGAACAATTGATATGAAAATATTTATAGAAAAGGCACAGGGAAGCTACATTACGGTAGTGGGAAAGAGTCTGAAGCTGAGGTAGCAGGTCTGTGGGTTGTGTTAACGTGTTGTTAACGTCACCTTACAACGGCAGTCGTTCAAGTCGATCTCGGTCGACCGGCTGATCGGTTGAACTCTCTGCCTTCGGGCGGGGAGGAACCCAAAGGAGGCTACGAATTCTCTTATTCTGTGCAGTCAGCCAAATGAAAACAAAAACAAAACCGACCCTGAACCCGTTTATACGGGTTCAATAGGCATATTTTGGGCCGAGCCCACGGGCTCGGAGATCCCACGTTAAACCGGCCTTGTGCCACATCATATAGTCAAATATAGTCACCTTACAACGGCCGCGATGGTGTTTTTCCAGTCATGTTTAGAGATGTTCATTTGGCGTCGATTTTAACCGTTGTCCGTCACTGGATGTGGTATTCAACGCCCGGGATTTGGGGATTTTTCGAATCGCATCTTGGCTCAGGATGGTAGCTTAAGTGCATTTAAGCTACCGAACCCTTTCTCGATCAATAAACTGTAGGTCATTTTAGAACATTTGAAAAAAGGAATTGACCAATTGATCATCTAGATCATTGTTTCCGAGCTGTCTCCATTCACCGTACTTGAAGCTGTTAAACTCTTCATAAGCTGTAGTGCGGTGAGTATCTGTTTATCGCAAAGTTTAATCGATTCGGCGCATTGATTTGACTAACACAGAAGATACGAGAAGTAGAATTTTTTTTTTCTGTTTGGTTAAATGCTTTGATCCTGGCGAAAAGAATCTGCTTTGCATGTAGTGTAGGTAAACTAATGTCATGATGGAAAAACCGATCAGTGACACGTTACATGTTGAGAGAATACGTCTTCAGACTAATAACGTTTTTTATCGATGGAATCAGTCTTACATATTTGGTAATTGTAATAGTGAGATTAGTGGTTTTCATACAGAAAGTGGATGTGTAGATGATGTAATGTATAGTGGCTCAGAATGTTAAGTCGGAGAACCGATTTCGAATTCGAGTTAGGATCGTTACATTCAAGTACGAGAAAATACCCAAGGGCAAAGTTATTAATCCGTCTCATCTCCCTACAGCCATGGGTTATATAGTAAAACTTGTATCTGGGAAAAAAATCATTGTTATTCTAAAAAGTAATGTTAATGCAATGTTTACAGGCGAAAAATTATTATTCTTACAATCTACAGGGTACGATGGATAAATTGTCGTCTAAATTACGCCAAAATGAAAATAACACTGACATCTTATTTTTAACAGATATTTTTAACAGATATACCCACCCAAATTACACAGAAATATCTAGAAATACAAAGGAGTAAATTTATTCAATAAAATCGCCATAAAATCGACGACTTCGGAATCTCCTGCAACTCTTCTGGACGGTATCCTTGTTTACGTTGGTAAATACTGCCATAATCCTTGCCTTCAGTTCATTTTTGGTGTTATAAGGAGTTTTTGTTGGTCCCTGCTCAACTGCGCCCTGGGGGTTGAAGTTAGGTGCCAGATGTAAAGGGTGATGCGGTCGTAGAAATTATCTGACAGCCATGACCGAGTTCTCTTGCTTGTGTGGCATGGTGCTAGGCATAGGGTCTTCCACCATCCAACCACTTGACAGTGGGCAGCAGTACCCACTCAAGGCACTTGATGTAAGTATCCGTGTTGTGTCTGAGGCCCTGGGGGAAGAGGAATGGCCACATAACATCGCCATCACTAGTGATCACTCCAAACACCTTTCTAATCACCATTAGACTCATCCAACTCTTTCTGGATCCTCTGCATTGTCTTCAGAATGACACCTAAATACTGTGAAATGTTCGTATTGGAGCTTTCGGCATGAATGCCAAGCAGTACAGCATGCCATTTCCAAATTTTTGGAGGAGTGAATTGACTCTTCGTGGTCTTTTTCTCACAGACAGTGCCCAACTGGCCCTACTATTCTGTGCAGTCAACCAAATAAAAAACAAAAAAAAAAAAAAAACGCGCATGCGCGAAACTAAAAAAAATTACTGATCACACTCTGTATAATGTTTTGGCTTTAAATACGAAATCAGTAATTCATTCAACCATACAGAAAACATTTGACATTCATTAACTGAACCGTTAGTGTTACGGTCGAGTGAAATTTATAAAATCTTTCTCTTCAAACAGTCTCACAGGAAAATAGGCTTCACAAGTTTACTTTTACAGCTATTCTCCGTATTGATCAGCGTTTCCTTCCTAACCTTTTGTTCGAAGTAGTGTAGAATGTCAACATCTTGATTATATCATTATTTACGCAATTATTAATAATTATATATATAGTAGTAATATTATATTTTAATTCTAATATATATATATTGTATATATTTGAATATATATATATATATATATATATATATATATATATATATATATATATATATATATGTGTGTGTGTGTGTGTGTGTGTGTGTGTGTGTGTGTGTGTGTGTGTGAATATGTATAGGGTGTGCTGGTGGTGTAATGGAAAATGGCTTGGATTGAGAAATCAGAGAGATGAGTTTGAATCCTAGTTGGGTTCGTTGCATTCACTTTCGCGCAAACACTTTTGGTAAAGGTATGAATCCATCTAATCCCCTAACTATTGGTTAAATAGTAGAAGTTGTAAAAGAAGACGCCAGCCTAACACACAGATCTTAATTATTTAACACAGATTTCTTTCTTTCATTCTGACCGGTAGGAGCCTATCTAACGAAGGCGAAATGAGTCGTCCATAAAGAGTGTTTTCATTTTTTTTCTGATTTATGAGATATATATATATATATATATATATATATATATAGTCTCATCCACAGACAGACTGAGACTGTTTCGCAGCTCTTCAGTGTGACTATATATATATATATATATATATATATATATATATATATATATATATATATATATATATATATATATATATATATATATATATATATATATATATATAAAAACACAATTTTTCTGAAAAAATAAGGAATGGTTTTATTCATTAATCCGACAGATTTTTTATAACTTTCAACGTTATTTTTATAAGATACTCATATTTGAGTTGACGTTTCATTTATTTATTAAGCAGTATATCTACCGATTTTTGTCTACCGGCCCGAATATTCTAGAAATCCCATTAAATTAAAATATGTGCTCTCCAGCTGGATTCGAAACCCCGTCCCAATCCTCCGTGCAGAGCGAAACCATCATTAGATCCGACTACCGTAAAAGACTCGGCTATGACTTATATCCCGCTAGAATTTTCTTGGCGATAATTTTGGAATTAGACAATCGATGTTGGTAGAAATTGAAAGGCACACATATACCTTTTTTACCTTTTTAATACTATCGTTTTTTTAATCATTTCATATTGATACTATTTAGTTTGTACATGGTTGTTCATTATTTTTTAATTCTCTAGAGCAGGGGGTTTTAATATATGCCTTAGTATAGTTGCTTCTAGTTACATATACTATCCATTGTAGTTGTTATAAAAGGAGGAAAATGAGAATGATTCGACTCTGTGGAAATAGCATGGTGTGTCCTCGCTAAAAAGGCCTGGACTGGTGAAACTAAAGAATGGAGCTCATCAGAAATACTTATGGAAATAGCGATAGAATAGCAATCAGCTTGCGACCTTGAGTCTGGGGAAAAAGTTGCAGATTGTCGGATAAAGTATGCCGGTTAGTGTTTACATCGAAATGCTACAGATATAGAGACGCCCAACTTTTGAAATTAAATTTTGACGTCCGATATATCAAGATGTTGACCGATTTCCGTGGAAACAGGACGAGTAATAACTGAACAACTGACCAAGATGAGATATTATTGGACAAGGAAAGGAAATGAGAACAACTTACCCTCATAAATGAAATAAAGGATTCAGTTCAAATTCCTTGGAACTTATTCAAGTAGGCAGACACCTGAAGAAGATCGGAGGGTACTCTGACCGAAACGTTGTGATAGCAACAAGAAAAGTGGGGACATTAGTCCGACTGTACATTATGTAAATAATGATAATTTCTCATCTCAGATATTAGCCCAATTCATTCAGCTTTTTTTTTTTTTTAACCTTTTTAGTACTATCGTTTTTTTAATCATTTCATCCCAAGAAAGGCGATAAAGCCACTCTGACGCAAGGGGGTTACTGAGATTAAAGGAAACTGAAAAGAAATATTGAGGAAGGAGAACAAGAAAAAACCAAGAAGACAAAAAATGTGGATTGACGTATTTATGAAAGTTTTGAAGATCGTAATTGACAGGAAATCAAGAAGCCGGAAGGGAGTTCCACAAGGGAGAAGTGCGAGAGAAGAAACTGTTAGCATAGAACTTACGGTTACATGTAGCAATTTTAGCTGTAATAATGATGAGACCTTGCCGCCAATCTAGTACTGCGATTAAATTCTTAAAATCGACGAAAGCTCATCTGAACAATTACTATCTGGGAAATATAAGACACGAAAAAAGAAAAGGGCGCTGAAATGGTATGAAGCATCAATCTTTCTGTACTGAAGTAATTGCTGGACAGTCGCCTCACAGGAGACTTGAGACAGCAGGGGTTTTCAATTTTTTTGGCTTGCGGACCCCTTTATATTTTTTTGGCTTTACCTTAGGGATGCCCTTATAAACGTTTATGAAATTTTTACATGAATATTTGCTGAATATAACATATAATTTTGCATTAACAGCCAATGAGAAAGCCGGAAATCGCAAAATAGATCCAAAATTCAAATCCTTTGGTTCCTTCTCTGCATGAATAGAATTCATTATCTTTATCAATTTAAGATACAAATTATATTAGTATATCAAATCTATGAAATAGTTTATTGAACCAATTTATTTCATGATCGGCCTATAAGTTACTTCTAAGCGCTTATAAGTTGCACGTCGCCCATAAAAAGGTGTTAGCTGTCCACGAACCCCCTATCTTGTCCTTGCGGACCCCCTGTGGTCCGCGGACCACAGTTTAAAAACCCCTGCTCAAGACAATATAATGGACGGAGCATGTGAGCAACGCGGAAGTTTTAACGAAAATCGGACACTACAACTTAGAATCAGAAAGTGACAGTAGAACTTTATAGAACCCCTAATGAAGTAAGAAGGCTTGGAGATTTTGACACCCACATGATATATTGAAAGTAACAGGAGTAGAGTTAAATATCAAGCTACTGCTAAAATGGTTATGCTGAAGGAGTTGCAATATGAGCGAAAAAAAAAAAGGATGAGATGTTAGGAATTTAAGATTATAGGGATAAGGAGGGTAGAGAACGAATGACCTTTGACATGAAGAGGTTAAACGTTTCGGGAATTTCTCGGTTGATTTTCTTTAGCGGCATATCAACATCTCTATAGGTCATTTAATGCCGAAATCTAAATATTTTGAACACAGTTTTATGGCTTCAACTAAATAATTGCTGGTTATTTTTTTTTCAAAAATGTATTGCTGGTATTTTGACTATAAAAATCTATTTTTATACTTTTCATGGTGTTTCGACCCCAGTTTCGGGGTTAACTATTTGCCCATAACTTGGGCCCTAACAGGTGCTATCACCCCGGGTCAGGGTGGACGTGGGAACAACAGCAATTAAGAGGCGGTTCCACGCTCCAAAAAACCTTCTGATCAGAAGCCTTGCTGCCGGATGTAGTTTATCGCCATACCCAGGAAGGTCAATGCAGGAGTCTGTTCCACAAAGTCGCAAGACATGGGTAAAGGCTGTCAGAATGGAACTTCTTCTTTACAATTGTAATACGGAGGAAATGAGAGTGATTCGACTCTGTGGAAGTAGAATGGTGGGTTCTAGCTCTAAAGGCCTGCACTAGTGGAACTAAAGAATGCGGCTCTTCGGAGCATTTCTCATGGAAATAGTGATAGAATAGAGACCAGTTTGCGACGTTGAGTCTGGGGAAAATGGCTGAGTGTCGGATTAAGTATATCAGAAAGAATCAGATAGTTCCTGGTGCTGGGGGAGGCAGTAAGTTGACAAAAATTATTTAGCGCTACAAAGGCTAGGAAGCTATGGAGTGCCATGATCATCCACACCATGCAGGAACACAGCACACTGTTCAGTTATTGATCGTCCTCTTTCCACAGAGATAGGTTAATATAATGATACGTTAAAATAAAGAGAAGGACCATCGCGACTTTCTTTTTCTTTCTACCCTGAGTTGTTCTTGGGCCTTGCGTTAGGGGTGCATTTAGTAAAAACATAAAAAAAGAAAGTTTATTGACTTTGCTTTAATATTATTCCTATTGTACGGCTTTAGAAATCTCAACACATTCCTCCGGCTTCATATGTAATTTTATTTGACTCTACCCTATTTATAACATTTCGGGAATTTGAAAGACTTCCTATATTTGCTACATCTCGTTTATTCGAGAACTACATCGTCCTCTACATACATCCATATAATAACCTCATTTAGTCACTTTCTACCTTGATTGGCTCTTGGGCCTTTGATTGAAGGAACGTTTAATAAAAAAAAATCATACTTCTAAAATCTCATTACATCTGTCTGGCTTTATTTGCAATTTTATTTAAACCCGCCCGATTTATGAAAGTTTTGGAAATTGAAAGACCCCGCCTCTTATTTGCTAACTCCCGTTTATTTGAGATAAACTTTTATAGACTAACAAATAAACTATACGAAAACACGAACAGCTGTTTCAGGTGAGATTATTAAACAGTGTGGATCAAACATTGCTTCCCGCTACAAAGGATAGGAAGTTATGGTGGGCCATGATCACCCACATTCTGAACGGACATAGTACATAAGGAGAATCTTCATGACTTTCTTTTTCTTCTTTGTCACTCCCTGCCACATCCACAGCATTTTTCTCATGTTTTTCTGATTTTTTCATCGTCGTCTCTTCCTTCTTTCCCCTTTCTCATTCTTGCAGCTTATTTTTCATCACTGTCGCCATTTTTCTTCTTTCAATAGACTGAAAGATTGGGAAGAAATTGAATTCCATATAGGTTAAACAAACAGAGCCTTAGTACTGGTTTACAATAACTTCCTACACACTACAAATCTAGATCGTCGAACGCTATGAAACCGTAGACGCTGTTTGTTGGTACACACTCTTTATGAAGGCCATTACTCTACTGAAAATGTCAGTTGAAACTTTCTTGTAGCCGTTTCATGTCAGACTTCAACATGGCGTTCTTACCGAGAGTATAAGAGTTACGTCCCTTTTATTCTATCGGCGTGTTTATTTATTGTAGCTAAAATAGAGATTTTTTTTTTACTTCCTCAGGGTGTTGGCTCGATGGGGAGGGGCATTTTTGAAGAAGATACGAAAATGAATCAGAAGAAAAAAATATAAAGAAAAGGAAGGAATCAAAAGGGAGATAAACGGAGAAGTGTTCAGGGAAGTAAAAGTTTAAAGAAGAGGAGAGATATGTGTTGTAAAGCAAGCAGAGTAGAAGGAGGAGGAGATGTGGTGTAGATTAGCGGGAGGTGAAGGAGGAGAAGTTTAGGAGGAGGAGGAGAATAGTAGTAGTAGTAGTAGAAGGAGGAGGGGGTGATGATGATGATGATGATGATGATGATGATGAGGAGGAGGAGGAGGAGGCGGAGGAGGAGGAAGAAGAAAAAGCGTTATAAAATTTATCATTAGACCGGGCCCACGCCCATACAAATACCTACTGCCGAATTAAACATCATGAAATGAAAACAGAGGATTTATTCACAATAAATGTGCAGATAGACATCTTGGAAATTACGACATTTGTTTGCTTTGACCACACAAGTAGTTATGTTGGAGTTCCTAATTAGGTAACTGAATCTACTCCAGAGAAATGTAAAACAGAACGGCACACAGAGACACACACGCACTCCCAACGATCTGGTGTGTACGTGTCCGTGTGTTTCATTGGCAAAATTGAATTCTTCTCAGTGCTTGTGTGGGCCTGACATTTTCGCGCTGAAATCTTGCAGTAACCTCTGATTTAGGTGCGATTATCTGTCCGTATGATTTGAATCAGTTCTTTATGTTGCGTAATGAATGCGTTTAGTTTCAGAGCGCAGTTAACTGGGTAACGTCATACAAAGATATATTGCATTTTTTTCTTCCTCCGATAAAGTATGGTTGTCAGTAAGCGGAATAGCCCCTGGGGAGGATAGTTTTTTTCCCGACGGGGGAAATGCTGTTGTAGTAGTATCTGTTCCGTGCAGGTGGCTATCCTCTCCCCCGCTGCCTGAACAGAATCCTCGGACTTGTTCTATAACATCTGTTCCGTAGCTATGACTGGCTTAGACAAGCTATGACCAGCTAAGACCAGCTTAGACCAGCGGCCCGAGTGGAGACACTCAGGTCCCCACGTTAAAACAAACCGACCTTGTGTCACAACCTGACTCAGTGGGGAATCAAAGATAAATCCCCAAGAGGAATAGTCCATGATACCAATTATGAGATAGGGGTGTCCAAAATAAAGCAAATACGAAAATTTAAATATCTATGAAATCGTAGGAGTTCCATGTTTAAGATTGGGTTTCCGGTTCCTTCATCTCTGTACTTCTGGTGTCTCCACTTGAAATCTGAAATTTTATTCAAGACAGTTTTTTTCTTCTTCCAATAAGAGTATATACGTTTGCCTGTCGCCCGGTTCACAATCCTCCCCAGTATTTTGAACAGGAGTAGAGGTTCATCCCTTGTTTCCTCTTTAGGATTGAGTTTCCGGTTCTTTCTAAAGTCTACTTGAACTCTATTCTCCAAACGTCTCCGCCTGCTTGACCTCTTCAAGTCTAGAATTTACTATCTTCCCTTTTATCTTACCCTTTCTTATGCTAATACAGTAACCCTCTACCTTGAGTGGCCCTAGGGCCTTGTGTTGAGTGAACATTATTAAAGAAAAAAGCTGCCGTTTAACAAAAATCGAATAAATACACTGGGATACTTTTAAGAGGGTTGCTGCTCAATGGCTAGGACACACAGCAGTTGGTTCCACACAGATATCAACTCGGAAATGTTTATAAATCTATAAGAATATTTCTAAATCTATAAGCCGAAAGTTTTTCAGTTCAGTTACACTATTTGATGAGGTATAGTTCGTTAATTTAACGACAGGATAACACTTGTTGGGGCCTACAGGTAAGTTCACCGACATCAATTCACCGCGAGGAGGGTCCAGCTCGAGGAAAGTTCACCGTGAGAAAAGTATACCGCGCGGAAAGTTCACTGTATGAATTCATTAGATTTTAGAATTAATAATTTTAGAATTAATCAAAATTGAAACGTGCATGTCTGGGGAAGTGCGAAAAAGAGGACGGAAAGCCTATGTTACTTCCGCTCGGCGAATTTGAAGACACGTTTTACAATGAAGATAATTGTTTCCCTGACAACCTGAGAGCGATAGCACATAATATCATACCAAGTTTTTATTGTTAAATTAGTTAAATTAAAACGGATAATGTCAGTTATTAATTACTTTTACTTTTAAAAATGTTTTAGTGATACGATGTTCAATATAATTAGAACGCATTAAAAAATTGTTTAATTTCTATATTTTACGATGAAATTTCCCCGCGGTGAACTTTTCTCATGGTGAACTTTCCTCGCGGTGAAAACTTTCGTCGAAGTGAACTTTTCTCACGGTGATTTGATGGCGATGAATTTACCAGACACGCTTGTTGGGGTATTTAATACAGCTTTTATAAAACAAAAATCACAGTGAACTATACAGGTATCTATCCGGTTTATACTAGAGACTAACAGGTAGAGGTAAGTCCTGTTTACACTTGGTGTATACATTAGTGAGTTTGTCTGCAACCATCCATCTGGAATTTGGATATTGTAAGGGAGAGGGTACATTTAATCCTCTACCAGAGAGGCAGTCAACGTATTCTAAGCCCTATTGACAAGTCACAACACTATTTTTAAAAACAGTTCACACCAAGTAAGATGATAACGTCACTAAGACGCAAGGGGCTACAGGGAGTGAAAGAGAAGGAAAAGACTTTAGAAGGAACCGGAAACCCAATAATTCTTTTTTCTTAATCATTTCAATCAATGCAATGTGGAAATGCCACTAGTAGGCAGGGGGTTACAGGGAGTGAAAGTGAAAGAGAAGACTAGATCATTGAGGAAAGGACAAAAAAATGAACAAGTTTCAAGAAGACAGAAAATGGCGTTGAGGTTGCACTTAAATTTTTGAAGATTGTAGTTACCAGGAAGGCAAGAAAGCGGAATTGAGTTCCACAGGTGGGGAGTGCGAGAAAAGAAATCGCTGTTAGAATAGACGTGGCGGTTGCATTTAGCTATTTCAATAGTAAAAGAATGGGACCTCGATGCCAATCTAGTAGCAAGCTTAAATTCATGTAATCAGAGCACCAGGGGAAAAGCTTGCTAGAGCAGTTGCCATGAAAATATTTGTGGAAAAGACAGAGGGAGGCTACGTCACGTTCGTGAGAAAGTGACTGAAATCGAATTGCCTGGTTGGGATCTATTACATTACACACGCCCTTCTTTGGGATTTTTGAAGAATCACGAGATGTTCAGCAGGAGGACTAGACCAAATATGGCAACAGTATTCAATTCACGGATGAATGGTAGATTTATATATGTGCAAGATGGATTTTGAGAAGAAAAAATTTCTGACACGACACAGGATCCAACTTCCCTTGCAGTAGACGTAGCAATCGACTCGATATATTCACTCCACTTCATGTCAGTGGAAAACGTGAAGCCAAGAAGCCGTTGAGTATTGCTCTCCTGGAGTTTAGCATAAACCATACAGATGGCAGGCAGAATTTTTTCCCTAATTAAACGAAGGCAGTATACGTATGGTATTTCTTGCATTAAATATGGTTGTTATAATTCCATCTGTGTGTCGATGGTCACGATCATAAAATGCAGTGTATCTCTGGTTACGATCATAAAAATCTTGTTGTCGACCACTGTGCTGTTCATATAATAATAAAATAATGCATTCCATCGAGAAATCGAAAGGTAGTTTCACAGGTGCGAGGTGCGAGAAAAGAAACTGTTGTAAACTAGAAATGGCGGTTGCATCTCGTTAGTTCAATTGTAAAACGGTAAGACCGAGTTGACAATCTAGTAGCACGCCTAAATTCATAGAGTCTGGGCACCAGGTAAAAAAAGCTAATCAGAGCAGTTGCTATGAAAATATCTTTTTCGAAAAGACAGAGGGAAGCCACGCCACGTCAGTGGGTAAATGATTGAAGTTGGGATGCCTGGTCAGGATCGATTATATTACAAAGTCTTCTTAGATATTTTTTTCAAGAATCTCGTGATGTGCAGCAGGAGGACCAGACCAAATATGACAACAGTTTTCAATTCACGGATGAATGGTAGATTTATATATGTGCAAGATGGATACTGACAAGAAAAAATTTCTGACACGACACAGGATCCAACTTTCCTTGCAGTAGACGTAGCAATCGACTCGATATATTCACTCCACTTCTTGGCAGTGGAAAACGTGAAGCAGACCCATAAGCCTCACTGTTGTGGCTAAATGAAAGCATAGTATAAATTTCGGAGTTTAGACGGAAACGTTGGAAGTATAAAGTTGAAGTAGACTTAGAGAATTCAATCCTTAGCAGGAAACAAGGGATAAAACTATACACATGCTCAAAGGACTGGGGATGAGTGTGAACCGGGCGATAGGTGAAACTATTTCTGTTTCAACAGTATTTGTGTTTAACGAGGTCTCTTGTTCAAAAGGCGTTAAGATAGACTGGGAAGAGAGTGAGATTTTGTCTAAATTACTCACATTATGCATTGAAAGTAGGAAATTCAAAACATCCTGTTAAAGACTCTACTAATTTTGCACATTTTATTTTTATTTTACATTTCTAAAAACATAAATTTTATTTTTTAAGTGGGTATCAGTTTTAGATTTTACCGATTTTGACAATGGTTACGATTGTTTTTAACACGGGTGATGTATTCGCTACACATTTTACAGCAAAAGAGG